TTCAGGGGGTCCTTTACTTGGAAGGCTGGTCAGAGGAGCCAGGGGGGCGCCCAGCAGAGGTGTGCCAGAGCTGCGGCAAGTGGGCATATCTATGTATTTATCGGTTCACTTCCCAGAGATGCATGGAGGCCGCCATAAACCTGCCTGGCTGATGTGGCAAATTGTGTGTTTAATAGTGAAGTGGGGGGCAGCCTGTGCCCCCTTCCCCTTGCCAGGAAAAGAGACACACAGAGCACCTGAGACCACCGTCTCCTTCGGGCAAGGATTTATTCCAGAATCCCCCCCCCTCTTGAAGGCGCCTGGAGGCTTTCTGCGCCTGGTCTCCTCCTGAACCGGCCTCTCTCTCCGTTCAGCACAAAGCAGGCCGAGCTTCCGTCCACGGAGCCCTCAGGGAGTTCCTGCAAAAGGGAAGGAGGCCTCAGGAAGGGTCTTCCTTGGGGGGCTGCAGGGGGGGGGACAGAGGCATTGGAGAGACCCCCCCTTCTTGCCAGGCCAAGAACCAGAGAGACCCCCCCTCCCCCGTTCTGAGGGGCTGCTCTGCTCCAGCCTCGGCCTTTGTGACACTCCGGCCAGCCTAGGCGCCTCCCTTGGGGTGTCCCCCAGGCCCCCTCCCTGGGGGAAGCGGACCCTCTGTTAAATGGGCACAGATCAGGAAGGAAGAGGACTCAGGAATGCTAGAAACTCTTATTTACAAACTGGATTCAAAAAGCACACAAACGCGGCCAGCGCCGGCTGTAACACTTCAGCCACTACGACGTAGGCTCATGTACATGTGGCGTCATGCATATTTAACAGCCTCTCTCCTGGGGCAGGCTGAAGGGCCGGGGAGGGTGGAGCAGGGGACATGCTGTCCCAGAGGATAGACAGCCTTGCCAAGAGATCCTGGCTCCTCCTTCTCCTCTTGGCCAGTTATAGTTAATGGGAATTGGTATCGTTAGTTAGTAATTGGGAGCTGTCCCCTTAAGGGAATGCATCATGGGAAATGGAGTTAAGGTATCCTGGGAAATGTACTTCATGTCATGTGGCCACATCTGTAACCCCGATTGGTCACTGAATTGACCCTTAGTGGGTTGGGGGAGGTTTCTTCACTCTTGCCTGAACCCAGCTAGCATCTCTACCCCTGCTCCTACGTTATGGGATGAAAGGGATAAGAGATTACCATCCTTTTACACCAGAAAGTCAGCTATGCAAAGAGTTGGACATTGAGATGTATCTCGACATAACTGTGAGTTATCTTGAGGATGCCTGATGAACCAATAAAAAGACTTTGTATGGATGCTTTGTGGAGTTATCTATCTGCCTTTATACATTCAGTCAGTCATTATAGAGGACAGAATACAGAGGGACGGATCCCGCAGCAGAATCTCGGGCAGGGGGAGCAAGGAGAGGGGCTCCTTCTGCAGGGCGGCCGGTGAAAGGGGGGGACCTCTCATTTCCCCCTTCCTCTCCCTCGCACTCAAGGTGGGAATTTCTGCTCCTTCCCACACAGCCTCCCACCTGTCAGGGCCCCCCTCCCCCAGCAATGCACACCCACCTCTCTTGGGGCACTTCCGCTGGCACTCTGCACGTGTTTTGAAGTGGTTGGCATTTGCCTTGCAGCCCGTAAAAGTGAATTTCTTGCACCTTTTGTTCTTCGGGTCGTAAAACCAGCGCTGCATTTTCTCCTTGCAAGGCCCGCGATCAGGAGGCAGCCTGCAGATGTCTGCAGGGGGGGGGGGGGGGAGGGGATTAGAGGTTGGCATCAGGTGGGCAGCTGTATAGATGTTTCAAAAGGGAGGGTGGAAGGAAGGAAGGAAGGAGGGAGGGAGGGAGGATGGAAGGAAGTGAGGGAGATGGAAGGAAAGGAAGGAAGGAGGAAGGGAGGGAGGATGGATGGAAGGAAGGAAGGAGGTAGGTAGGATGGAAGGAAGGCAAGAATGAAGGAAGGAGGGAGGAAGAAGGAAGGGGGGATGTAAGGAAGTGAGGGAGATGGAAGGAAGGAAGGAAGGAGGTAGGTAGGATGGAAGGAAGGAAGGAGGGAGGGAGGGAGGGAGGGAGGATGGAAGACAGGAAGGCAGGCAGGAAGGCGGGATGGAAGGGAGGGAGGGAGATGGAAGGAAAGGAAGGAAGGAGGAAGGGAGGGAGGGAGGGAGGATGGAAGGAAGTGAGGGAGATGGAAGGAAAGGAAGGAAGGAGGAAGGGAGGGAGGATGGAAGGAAGGGAGGAGGAAGGGAGGGAGGATGGATGGAAGGAAGGAAGGAAGGAGGGAGGGAGGGAGGGAGGAAGGACAGAAGGAGGGACTCAGAGGGTGGGGACCGAGTCTTCCCTCCCCCTCCCCCCAAGCCCTCCCCCTTTCCTCCCAGCTGAATTTGGGTATTTTTTACTTTCTTTCAGTCAGGAGCCCCCCTGGAAGTGAGGGGGGAGGGGCAGGTGCTTCTGCTGTGCAGAGCATGAATGGAGCCGAACTGGGGGGCACCTCATTAAGGTGAGGATTGGAGGGGTACAAATACAGCGAATCTCTCGTTTTGGGTGTTAATTCTGGACTCTTCGCCCCCCCCCATCAAGCGTTACCTGCCTGTTTCAGCCCCCCCTTTCTGAGTAGCTGCTGGTTGCCAGCAGCCCCCCCAGCAACGCACACCCACCTCCCTTGGGGCACTTCTCTTGGCACTCCAAAGGTGTTTTGAAGTTGTTGGCATTCGCCTTGCAGCCCTTGAAAGTGAATCTCTTGCACCTTTTGGTCTTTGGGTTGTAAAACCAGCGTTGTTGTAGTTTTTCCTTGCAAGGCCCGTGATCAGGAGGCATCCGGCAGAGGTCTGCAGGGGGAAAGGACGGGACAGAGGGGGGCATCAGGTGGGCAGCTACATGGATGTTTTATTTTTTTTTTAATGTATTTATTTGTCAAGCATGTATTAGATAACAGATATAAGTATAAGCATGCTTATGAATACATGAAATGGATACGAATAAAAAGGGAACATTAGGACAGGGACGGTAGGCACATTGGTGCGCTTATGCATGCCCCCTTACAGACCTCTTGGGAAAGGGGTGAGGTCGATAGTAGACAGTCTAAGGTTAAAGTTTGTGGGGTTTGGGGAAGAAACCACAGAGTCAGGTAGAGGATTCCAGACATTGACCACTCTGTTGCTGAAGTCGTATTTCCTGCAATCGAGTTTGGTGCAGTTTACCTTGAGTTTGTATCTATTGCTTGCTCTTGTGTTGTTATGGTTGAAGCTGAAATATTCATTGATGGGTAGGACATTGCAATGGATAATTTTGTGTATTACACTTAGGTTGGACCAAAGGCGGTGTAGTTCTGAGTTGTCTAAGCCTAAAATTTCAAGTCTGGAGGCATAGGGTATTGTGTTGCAAGTAGAGGAGTGGAGGACTCTTGTGAAATATCTCTGGACTCTCTCGATTGCATTAATGTCTGATATGCAATGCGGATTCCAGACCGATGAGCTGTATTCGAGAATTGGTCTAGCAAATGTTTTGTATGCTCTAGTTAGTAGTGTGATATTACCAGAGAAAAAGCTA